CTCCCTCCTCCTCCTCCCTCCCTCCTCCTTTCAGCCAATGGCAAAATTACAGAACAAACAGACCCTGAAGGCAGATTTAGCAAACAGATTTCTGATAAACTGGTTAGACGTGAGGCATAAAGTATCGGAATATTTTTCTTGATCAATCACAACAATATCCACAGGACTGTCTTATCCACAGGACGTTCCAATTATCCTGCACCAGAGCAGGTTCTGACCAGTTCTGGAGAACCAGTGGCAGAAATTTTGAATAGTTCGGAGAACAGGCAAATACCACCTCTGACTGGCCCCGCCAACCCCATCTATTTTCTGCCTCCCATTGAATCCCAGCTGATCAGCTGGGTCTCCTTTGGTTGCCCTGCACAGGAGAATGGAGCTGGAAAGCAGGTTAGTGGGGTGGGGAGGGAACCGGGATTTTGCAGTATCTTTCCCCTGCCACGCTCACCAAGCTACACCCACCAAGCCACACTCACAGAACCGGTAGTAAAAAAAATTGAATCCCACCACTGTCCTGCACACTTTATAAAACTGAAAACAGAGAAAGAAAGAAGGTGGGTCCCTGCCTAACAACATGCAAACAGGAGGCCGAGATGACCGGCGTTTCCTAACCGTCTTTCTCTTCAGTGAATTCTGAACATGTGCAGAAAGAAAGGAGTTAAAAGAGATTTGGCTTTGTTCATTTAGTAAGAGTCTTTTTTTAAAAAAAGCCTGCCTTATCTGCAACTTGACCTGGCTATTACTACCATTAATCCTCAATTTTTCGACCGCAATGGAGCCCTAGATTTCTCACTTGTTGAGTTTTGCCTCCCTGCTTGCCACAGTTATTAAGCGAATTACTGCAGCTGTTAAGCAAGCAACACGGACGTTAAGTGAATCTGGATTTCCCCCACTGACTTTACTTATCAGAAGGTTGGAAAAGGAGATCGCTGGAGCCCTGGGACAGGGCAACCGTCCTAAATAAGAATCAATTGCCAAGTTATTTGAATTTTGATCACGTGACCCATGGGAATGGTCGTTAAGTGTGAAAAACAATCGTAAGTCGCTTTTCCCCCCCAGTGCTGTTGTAACTCAGAACGGTCACTAAATGAACTGTTGTAATTCGAGGACCCCCTGCAACCCGATATATTTCAGACTGGCAAAAAAAATGCACAGGATAAATTTTGTATTGCTGGATTTTTGAGCTAGATTTTTGAGCAGGAAGTTTTGTTTTCTATATTCCCCCCCACACCTCCCCCCAGGTTTGGGCTAAAAGGGAAAAGTCCTTAATAGAAAGGCAAAAAAAATCCCTAAATGGACAGACTCAAGTGTGCCAGAGTTTTTTAGCCTTGTGGAAATGTCCCTTTCTTGGGGGAGTCTTGAAAGAAGCGCTGGCTAGAAACATTTAAATTATTCTTCTCTTACAGTTTTTAACACAGTTGGCAATAGAGCTGCACACTTCTTGACAAGCCAGTGGTTTCCTTTTTTCAACTACTACTATTCTGTGCTTTTTTTTTTTTTTAAACTCAGGTGCTTTTTCAGGAGGCAACTGGACTTTCTTGTTTTGTTTTGAAGACATTTCACTTCTCCTCCAAGAAGCTTCTTCAGCGCCGACAGGATATTGGGGAATGGAAGGATTTATACTCTTTGCAGACAGCTGGTCATTTGCATCCTTTTAGAGGGTCTTTGAGGCCACTTGAAGGTTTATCTATGTCCTCAGGATCAAATGGTTCGTGTAGTCTGCAATTTTTCCTCTGGAAATCCTTTTTCCTACTCCCACACCATTCGAAGAGTGTTCATCCAAAACTGCATAGCTAAAAGTCTGTAGAGCAGGGCTGTCAAACTCCTGGCCTGCAGGCTAGATGAGTTACGTGCTGGCCAGCTCCACCCCTGGTTTAATGAAGGGAGGAAAAAAGTCCCAATAGGTCACGTGACGATGTGAGTTTGACACCCCTGCTGCAGAGATTCTCAATCATCCAGGCCATCGTTGTCCCACAGGTGTTTTTTTTTTTTCAGGAGGCAATTGGACTTTCTTGTTTTTTTCTTTTGAAGATGTTTTGCTTCTCATCCAAGGAGCTTCTTCAGCTCTGATAGGATGGTGGGGAATGGTCATTTGCATCTTTTTAGATAGTCATTGAGGACACTTGGAGGTTCATCTGTGTCCTCAGGATCACCCGAGGGGTGCAAATAGTTCCTGTAGTCTGCCATTTTTTCCTTTGGAAATCCATTCCACACCGTTCAAAGGGTGTTCATCCCAAAATGTACAGCTAAAAGTCTGTAGAGATTCTCAGTCACCCAAGTCATGAAAAAGCACCTTTGGCACAAGAATGACCTGGATGACTGAGCATGTCTTCAGACCTCTGATCTTGGCTGTTTTTCAATTTTTCTCCTTGGTCAATGACTTTTTGGTTACTTATTGCTGTGCTGTTTTCTTTGGAAGGACAAAATGGACTGAGTGGAACCCTACGTTGCCAAATCCCAAACAAAGAAAGAGCTCACCTCTTGCAGCCTTTGTCCCAAAGTCTCCTTGCTCCAAATGCTCTTCCTGTAGAAAAGCAAACACAACCTTATTAGAAGAGAGCAAAGTGCAGAAGGGGGCCTTTCACGGGCTTCCCTGGAAAAATTCCTCGGAGCTTCCATCTTTTTCTCCATTATTAGCAGCAGAAAAATAACCTCGGATCATCATACAACAGAACGCTGCATAAAATCTCCCATGTTCCGAAATCAAATGCAGGAAGTGGCGATGTTTTAGGAGTACCAAAGATGATCTCTTAGGATGTCATTGCCTGTGGTCTGTATTCCTTCCCTCCCTCTCCTTCCTTCCTTTTCCTCCCTTCCTTCCTTCCATCCATCCATCCTTCCATCCATCCATCCTTTCTCCATCCACTTTCGTTCCTTGTTTCCTCCCATGCATCCAACCATCCATCCTTCGACTCCCTCTCTTTCTTTCTTTTCTTTCTTTCTTTCTTTCTTTCTTTCTTTCTTTCTTTCTTTCTTTCTTTCTTTCTTTCTTCTTTCTTTCTTTCTTTCTTTCTTTCTTCTTTCTTTCTTTCTTTCCTTCCTTCCCTCCCTCTCCTTTTTCCTTCCCTCCCTCTCCGTTGTTCTTTCCCTCCCTCCCTCCCTCCCTTTCCTCCATCTCTTCCTTTCCTCCATCTCCTCCTTTCCATTTTAGTGGACAACCAGCTAACTATGAGTCAGCAGTGTGCAGTGGCAGCCAAAAATGCAATCCTAAATTGCATTAACAGAGGGATACAAACAAGATCAAGTGAGGTACTAGTACCACTCTATAAAGCCTTAGTATGACCACACCTAGAATACTGCATCCAGTTTTGGTCACCACACTATAAAAAAGATGTTGAGACTCTGGAAAGAATGTAGAGAAGAGCAACAAAGATAATTAGGGGACTGGAGGCTAAAACATACAACGAACGGTTGCAGGAACTGGGCCTGGCTAGTCTAGGGAAGAGAAGGACCAGGGGAGACAGGAGAGAAGTCTTCCAATATTTGAGGGGCTGCCACAGAGAGGAGGGGGTCAAGCTATTCTCCAAAGCACCCAAAGGTCAGACAAGGAATAATGGATGGAAACTGATCAAGGAGAGATTCAACCTAGAAATAAGGAGAAATTTTCTGACAGTGAGAACAATCAACCAATGGAACAGAAGTTGCCTTCGGAAGTTGTGGGAGCTTCATCATTGGAGGCTTTCAAGAAGAGACTGGACTGCCATTTGTCAAAAATGGTGCAGGGTCTCCTGTTTGGGCAGGGGTTGGACTAGATGACCTACAAAGTCCCTTCCAACTCTGTTAATCTGTATCTATATCTTTTCCTCCATCCCTTTCCACTGCCTCCTCCCTTTTTCCTTTCCTTTCTTCTTCTGTTCCTTTCCTTTCTTCTTCCTTTCTCTTTCTCCTTTCCTTTCCTCTTTCTTTTCCTTTCCCTTCCTCCTCTTTCCTTTCCTTTCTTCTTCTGTTCCTTTCCCTTTCCTTTCCCCTTTCCTTTCTTTCAGATGAGATTATGACAAATACCTCAGTTGATAGTTCAAAAGGCCCAGTGAGGTCATCAAGCCCAATCTCCTATTCAGGCTTGGAATCCAATGGGATCTTTTGCCTATCTGCATGTTGGCTGGGGAATTCTGGGAGTTGAAGCCCATACACATTAAAGATTCCAAGGCTGACTAACTCTGATCTAGAATGGCTTTCAAACAACTTGGTGTGCTCTAGAAACATCGGAATTAAAATATCCCTAAATTCTCCTCCAGACTGCCACATACGATTGAAGCAGGCTGGATGGCTGTGTGTGTCAAGATTCCAGCGATCGCCCTAATTAAATCACGAGCCTCGAGCCAAACTTCAAAAAACTTCAAAGGATTTATTAGGAGTGACATTCTAGCATGACCTGTATGAAGCCGACTCTGAGATAAGACATTTACAATCACCTATGACCCTGTTTCCCCTCACCTCTCTGGGTGTATTCAGATTGTCCAACAGAACATATTTCCGTGCCCAAAATACCCGGTTGCCTCAGTTACAATCTTTGTGAGATAAGCTTGGAATGTGCTTCTGAGTTCATTTGCCGTATGCTCCTTCAGCATTCCTCCCTCCCACTCTTTCTTATGGCCACTTGGAAAAAAACCGACAGAGTGGCTATGAAGTATTTTCTCCTCACCTGTCTATCTTCCTTGCTACAATCACCGTGAAGCTGCCCTCAGTGTCAGGCAAATATGTTGATGGGACAATGGCGTAATTTCCTGAAGGCAGCCGGCATGCCTGACTTATTTCCTGAGAGTAGCAATGAGGCACACAACTGAGAACCGGCTCCAATTGCAGGAAAGCTGTGGAAGCCATTTTGACGTGGTTGTTGTCACTGGGAACCTAAGAAGAAATAACAAAGTCTTCCCTATAATTACATTGTATGTTTCGGATATCCAACAGCTCTTTTAATTGTATCATTGTGACCTGTAACAATTATAATTGTGTTATAAATATAATAAAATATAGAAATATATAATCACATTATAATTATAGAACTATCTTCATTTAATATATTATCTCTGAGACCAGTGGTGGTAAACCTTTTTGGGCTCCTGTGCCAAAAATTGTGTGTGTGCTTGCGTGCTCGTGTGCCAGCACCCAGAAGGCAATGCATGCGCCCCCCCATGCCCCCTGCGCATGCATGCGCAATCCCCTCCCCTTACCTGCACTGAGCCTCACAGCTGATTTTTCAGCTGAGTTGAGGCTTTTTTTGGCCTTCCAGAGGCTTGAAAAAAGCCTCTGCAAGCTTTGCAGGCCGAATAATAGGCCCGTTTCATCACTTCCAGTATTACAGGAAATGACAAAACGGGCCTATTATTCATCCTGCAAAGCCTGCAGAGGCTTTTTTCAAGCCTCTGGGAGGCCGAAAAATCAGCTGATTTGAGGCACGCGCATGCACAGTGAGATAAGTTTGCCTGCGGCTTGTGTGCCGGCACAAATGGCTCTGCATGCCACCTGTGGCACACATGCCATAGGTTCGCCATCACAGTCCTAGACTGCTGCAGCCTCCCCGTGGTCACATGACCAACATTCAGATGCTTGGCAACTGACTCATATTTATGACAGCTGCTCCTGGCAATCAGGATGTGAAGCCATGCTTGCAGGTTGATTTGAAAATCATCACAGGTTACAGGATCTATTGTCATGTCTGAATACACAGACAGACAAAAGTGCACAGTGCAGTCAATGGTTTCCCAATATTGTCATGCACCTTTTGGAATCTGATTCCAAGGGGGAGGCCGAGCAGCTGACAGGGAGTGGGAGTGTGGCTCCAGTGGCTGTGGAAGAAACTGGGGAAGGGCAAAGTCTGGCTGGGCAGAGCAAAGGAGAGATAGAACAAGGGAGAGGGAGTTCGGAGGAAGACCCAGGCCCACGCCTCTTCATCCTAGGGCACGCAGAGAGGAACGGAGAAAGGAGCAATGCTTACGGGGGAGGAAAGGGCCCTGATTCCCTTCATTAGCTGCAGCTGGGAACACATTGTTTAAAAAGGACGTTTGCGCACAGCAACTCGTGGGAAGCAAATCGTGAGTTATCTTTTATGGTCGAAGCTTATCTGGGTTCCTGACCTCTTCCCAACTGTGTGTGTTTTGTTGGCTTTTGAAGTCTGCAATTCCTTATCCTGCGCTGTCCAGTTAATTGCTGCAACGTGTTTGTGTGGATTTTTATTCACAGTTTATATGTACTTCGTTTTCGGACTGAATTTCTTTCATTTAAAGACTGTTCTTGGGAGAGTTTTTTTTCCAGCCGAAGGTAACTGGACATTGGGGGCAAAGTTGGAAGTATTAAAGAGATTTTTCTTACTTATGTGACTGTGTTGCCTTTGTGCCACACCCCGGGTCATCACAATGATAAAAATTAAGGATGCTGTGGAGAACAGGAGCTACAGTAGAAATATCCATTTACAAACTCAGATTATGGGATGGTTTCCAAATTACAGGTAATCCTTGGACTTAAAACAGTTCGTTCAGTTATGAGGGTCCTGCGAGAAATGGCTTAGGGCCGTTTGTCACACTTGAGGCCATTGTAGCATCTCCATGGCAATGGGATCAAAATTTGGAGGTGTGGCAACTGACACTTCTTGATGACGAACAGAGCCATGCTGGCTGGGGAATTCTGGGAGTTGAAGTCCCAGACACCTTCAAGCGACCCAGGTTGAGAGACACTGGTGGAATTCAATCAGCAACCTCAAATACGACAAACCCTCAATGATTCCTTTATTAGGAGCGCCGGCAGCCCCGGCAAAAATTCTCTCTCACTGCAGCTAACAAAGTCTGTCCAACAGGGAGATGAATAGTTGCTTGCCACACCTATTCGTCTCCGCCCCCTGTCTTTTATTCCCAGAGCCAGGGTGGGGCTTTGTTAGCAGCAGAGGCTCTTCCAACCCAAGGACTGGCTCATAGATTTCCATTGCTCTCCTCTCCTCTGCCTTCTGTGCATCCACGCATCAGGCACTGGACCCAGCTGTTCCTCCTCTTCCTCATCAGCCACCTCTAGACCTGGGGGCTGTTGACTCTCTATCTGAAGGCTGACAGATGGCCCAGGCTCCAACCCCTCCGCCCTCCCTTTGTCAGCTCCACTCCCTCTTCCCCTTCAGAGCTCTCAGGTTGCCCTGATGCTATCCCAGACTACCACACCTCCTCATCCTCTGATTTGGCTGCTGGAGGGGTCGGCGGCCGACAGGCCACAACAGAACCTCAATATTACCTGGAAGATATGAAAGCCAATGGGACGGCACTTGTTATCTGGGCAGTGCTGACGGAGAGACACCTTGATGCTTCTTTGACCAAACCCGGCGGGAACCGACAAAGGGAAGCAGGGATTGATGTGGAACGAGGGGAAGTTGCGGCTGCCTCCGGCGTTGTGGCCTTTTTTCCACGATCCCTCCAGCTGAGCCGTCTCCCACTCGCCTCCTGGGAACGCTTCGTGGATGGTGTTATCCAGCAAAGGCAGCTTGATCTCACTTGCAAGAAACCAGGGAGATGGGGAGGCAGAAAGGAGAGAAGGAAGAGGGGAAAAAAATTACCTACCTTATAGCTTCTCTTGTCACTAACTCCCCAACCCTGATTTTTTAAACTTTTTAAAAATTACATCTATATCTATAAAAGCAAAATACCCCTCACACATCATCACAAAATCTCCAGAACCGTAAAGCCTACCACCTTGAAATTTGGCACTTATGTTCCTCTTGGCTTCTAGGTGCTCACTAAGAAAGAATTTTTCAAAAGGACCATCAGAGCATCAGTATTTCGTATATTATTATGAACAGGCTCTGATGCTAAGGAGTTCTACTCCCCCTCCCCACCTGAAAAGAAATCTGTGACTTACGACCGTTTTTCATCCTTAGGACAAATTGCAGCATTTCCATGGTCACATGATCAAAATTCAGATGCTTGGCCACTGACTCACATTTATGATGGTATGTGGTCTCGCAATCTCCTTTTGCGGCCTTCTGACTACTGGGAAGCTAGATTTACTTAACAACCATTTCATTAATTTAATAACTGCGGTGATTCACTTAACAACGGTGGGAAGGAAGTTGGTAAAAACAGGGCAGAATTCCCTTAAATGTCTCGCTTAAACCACATAAATTTTGGACCCCTGTCATGCCCCTGTTGGAGTCTGATTCCAAGGGGGATGTCGAACAGCTGAGTGGGAATGTGGCTCCGGTGGCTGTGGAGGAAACTGGGGAAGGACACAGTCCAGCTGGGCATTCAGAGGAAGACCCAGGCCCACTCCCTCTGCATGCTAGGGTACGCAGGGAGGAACGGATAAGGGAGCAACATGAGTTATGGGGGAGAAAAAGGCCCTGATTCCCTTCATTAGCTGCAGCTGGGGAAACAGGATAAAGAAGGTGTTTGCGCACAGCACCTTGCTGGAAGCAAAGCGTGCATTACCTTTGTTTGTCACGTCTTATCTGGGTTCTGGCGTCCTCCCAACTGTATGTGTTTCGTTACCTTTTGAGTTCTGCAATTCCTTATCCTGCCCTGTCTCATTAATTGCTGCAGCGTGGTTTGTGTTGGTTTTTAATTTATAATTTAGATGTACTTTGGGTTCAGGCTAAATTTCTTCCTTTTAAAAACTGTTCTTAGCAGAGTTTTTCTCTCCAGCTGATGATAACTGGACATTGGAGGCCAAGTTGGAGAAATTAAAGGGACTTTATCTACTTTTGTGACTTCGTTGCTTTTGTGCCACGTTTGGGTCATCACAGCCTTTTTGCGCTCGTAAGTGATGGACTACAGGTTCAAAGGTCTACCTACATCCAGGGGTGGGCTTCAAAAAATTTAGCAACCAGTTCTCTGCCCTGTTGCTGGGTGGACGTGGCCATGGTGGGCATGGCCTAGTCGGCCTCCTGCAGCACGGTGGACTGGGGGGGGGGCGTTTTTGACCTCCCCGGCTTCCAGAGGCTTTTCTCGAGCCTCTAAGAGGGCAAAAATGGCTTCCCTGGGCCCCGGAGGCACTCCAGAGGCCCATTTTTCACCCTTCCTGAACCTCCACGCAGACCTGCACTTACCTGGGATCCAAAACGGACCACATGGAGATTCCTGGGAGCAGCCAGACTGGGTGGGTGGGGCCAGGCAGTCGTTGCAACTACCGGTTCGGCGAACCAGATGTAAAAATAACATCCAGTTCGCCCGAACCAGTATGTCATGCCCAGTTGGAATCTGATTCCGAGGGAAAGGTGGAACAGCTGACAGGGAGTGGGAATGTTGCTCCAGTGGCTGTGGAGGAAACTGGGGAAGGGCACAGGCCAGCTGGGCATTCAGAGGAAGACCTAGGCCACCCCTTCTTCATCCTAGGGCACGCAGGGAGGAATGGAGAAGGGAGCAACATGGTTTACGGGGGAGGAAAGGGCCCTGATCCCCTTCATAGGCTGCAGCTGGGAAGACTGTTTAAAAGGGCAAACAGCGCATGGCAAAGTTGTTGGAAGGAAAGCGTGCATTATCTTTGTCGAGGCTTATCTGGGTTTTGGCATCCTCCCAACTGTGGGTGCTGCGTTATCTTGTGGAAGCCTGCAATTTATCATCCTGGCCTGTTGTGTTAATTACTTCAGCGTGGTTTGTGTTGTTGTTTTTTTCATTTCTACTTATCTTTACTTTGGGTCCAGATTGCATTTCTTCCCTTCGTAGACTGTTTTTTTGGAAGAGTCTGATCTCCAGCCGAGGATAACTGGACATCGGGGGCCAAGTTGGAGGCATTAAAGGGAATTTATCTACTTTGGTGACTTTGTTATTTTTGTGCCACACCCCGGGTCATCACACAGTAGGAGCCCACCCCTGCCTATCTCTCTTCCCAATTCCACCCACCCCACCTGGCTGGAGGTACCTGAGAGAAATTCTTCCACTGGAGAAAACCCGGAGTAGGAAATTTCCTTCCGTATTATTCAGGAAAGTGCTAGGAACAACCAGGTAGTACCCAGGAGAAAGTTCACAATGGAGATGCACCTCTCGGTTGTAGGAATGAGAAGCTGTGCTCGCTACTGGCGGCGCAGAGAGCGTCTTGGGAAGGTTGAACTGTTTCTTCTCAATCTGGAAGACAAGAGAGCAGCACAGGGCTGAATACAGGAAGTCCTCGACTTGCAACAATTCATTTAGTGGCTGCTCAAAGTTACAAAAAAAAGTGACTCAGGGCCATTTTTTCAGAGTTACGACCTTAGCAGCCTCCACATGATCCCACGATCAAAATTCAGATGCTTGGGCACCTGATTCAGGTTTATGACCGTTGCATTGTCCCCCGGGTCACGTGATCACCATTTGCGACCTTCTGACAAGCAAAGTCAATGGGGTAAGCCCTGATTCACTTAACAGCCAGGCAGGGGTGGGATTCAAATTTTTAAACAACTGGTTCTGTGGGTGTGGCTTAGTTGGTGGGCGTGGCTTGGTGGTCATGTGACCAGGTGGGTGTGGCTTGGTGGTCATGCTATTGGCTGGGCGTGGCCAACTCAATATCACTCACATCGAGGCACGCATCTCCTCGCCTGGCCTCTCATGACTGTGGGGATGCTGCAACAGACCTAAGTGTGAAAAATGGTCATAAGTCACTTTTTTCAGTGCCATTGTAACTTTGAATGGTCACTTCACACAAGCACAGTACCAGCAAAGGAGGGGGAAAACTCCAGAGAAGTTCCTGAGACAGGAAGTCTAGTCCTGCCAAGAATGTAATAAGGGTTAACGGAGAGGCAGTTTCTGTAAGCGACACCAGAATGTTTCCTTCCTGCCTTCCTTACAGGATTAGGCCAGTAATTTCTTCTAACAACCGGTTCTCCGAACTGCTTAGAATGTTAACAACCGGTTCTAGCGAATAGGTGCAAACTGGTAGAATCTCACCCCTGCAGCCATGTTAGTAATTTATCCACTGAAGTGATTTACTGAACAACAGTGGGAAGAAATAGCAATATAGCGCTTAGACTTAAATACTGCTTCACAGAGGTTTTACAGCCGTCTCTACAGAATCAGCATTTTGCCTCCCACAATCTGGGTCCTCATTTTACCCACCTCGGAAGGACGGAAGGCTGAGTCAACCTTCAGCCTGGTGAGATTCGAACTGCCAATTTGCAGGCAGCCATTATTTGGGATGTTTAACTTTAAGACGGCATGCCATCTTCAGAGAAAAGCCAGTGGGTGACACAATAAAACCTCTCCTGTGAGGAAAAAAAACAACTTCCAAAATATAATACTGTACAATCTGGCTTCGTTCTGAGTTTGTGGGGCTGGCTAGTCAAACCCACGAGCCAAATTCTTCCAGGGAATTTTATGAGAGACCCAAACGACCTCGCGTTCTTTTAGTGCTTCTTCCCATGTCCTTTGGCCATTTTATTTTCCCATAAAAAAAATCCGTTACAGCAATATTTCATTTAATGGAAGGAGCAGTCCAGCTTCCAGCACATTCAATTTTGCTCCAGGAAAAAGAATAGACGGCTCTCTATGGGGTCAGCTAGGAAATAGATAACAGAATAGAGGTAGTCTTACAACAGTTCATTTAGTGACCATTCAAAGTTACAACGGTCCTGAAAAAAAATGACACAGGCCCGTTTTTCAAATTTGCAGCCTCCCTGTGTTTTACGTGATCAAAATTCAGACGTTTGGCGACTGGTTCATACTTATGATCATTGCTGTGTCCCAAGGGCAGGTGATCAGTTTTGACGAGTTTCTGACGAGGAAAGTCAACGGGGAAGCCAGGTTCACGTAGCAACCGGGCTGCTGACTTAACCACTGTAGTGATTCACTTAACAACTGGAGGAAGAAAAGTCGTAAAATGGAGGCAGAACTCAACTTGACAAATGTCTCAAAGGCAGTCCTCGACGTACGACCCCAACTGAGCCCAGAATTTTATGTTGCTGAGCGAGACCCTTGTGAAGTGGGTTTTTGCCCCATTTTTACGAGTTTGCTCCGCCACATTTGTTAAGGGAATCGCTGGATTTGTTAAGTGAGTAACCCGGTTGCGAAGGGAATCTGGCTTCCCCATTGACTTTGCTTGTCAGAAGGTCGCAAAAGGGGATCACGTGACCCCCAGGACATTGCAACCGTCATAAATATGAACCAGTTCAGAGGTGGTATTCAGCCAGTTCTGACAGATTCTGGAGAACCGGTAGCAGAAATTTTGAGGAGTTCGGAGAACCGGCAAATACCACCTCTGGCTGGCCCTGCCCCCATCTCTTCTCTGCCTCCCATTGAGTCCCACCTGATCGGGTGGCTCTTCTTTGGTTGCCCTGCAGAGGAGAACAGAACTGGAAAGCAGGTTAGTGGAGTGCAGAGGGAATGGGGATTTTGCAGTAACCTCCCCCCAGGAGTGTGGTGGAAATGGAGATTTTGCAGTATGCCCACCAAGCCACACCATGCCTACCAAGCCATCCTGCCCCCACCAACCCACCCCCACAGAACCGGTAGTAAAAAAAAAAAATTGAATACCACCACTGATACCAGTTGCCAAGCATCTGAATGTAAATCACGTGACCGAGGGGAATGCTGCAATGGTCGTAAGTGTGAAAAATGGTCATAAATCTTTTTTTTTTCCAGTACGGTTGTCACTTCGAAAAGTTCCCTAAGTGAGCTGTTGTAATTCGAGGACCATCTGTACTATCCACTTCCGGCACCCCAGTGATTCAGATGCCAAAGCTGCTAGGACAACATCACAATAATCCTATTCCATTTTCATCCTCAAACGCGGTGGTGGTATGTTAACGGTTCAGACCGGTTTGGCCGAACTGGTAGTAAAAACAAAGAATAGCCTTTGACCATCAGCTGAGGGGAGAAAGAAGAAAAAGTGCAGGATTGGGCCTCCCACTTGCCCCTGCACTTTCCTCTCCTTTATCCTCTGCGCTGATTGGCGCTGCGGGCCTCAGCAGCTGTGGGGAAAGCCGCGTGCATGTTACACGCATGCACATTAGGTGCGCGCGCATTAGGTGCGGGCGCCCGGGAACACCGAATCGGTAGTAGAGCAGGTAGGATCCCACTGCTGCTCAAACTGCAAGGCCTTCAGATGTCCCAGCGTTCACCTGAATTCATTTCTCTCGGCAATCTTGAGGACTAGAATCTTACCTTCCTGGAAAACGGAAAGAACGCGTCTGCCCCGCGTGGCCACCTCCTCTTTCCTACCTTCCATATGTGCAAGCCCACGGCATGGTAATTCTTCCCTCGGACGTTATCCGCCAAGGAGGGGTCGGCTTCCGGGAGGCGAGGCCAAGCGCGGATCCTGCCAGCCCAATCTGCGGTGTGCTTCCGGGGTTTCTGCAGGAGGGCAACGCACAGCTCACTCTGCTCGCAGACTCTCAGCCAGAATTTGGGGTTGGTGGGGAAGGTGCTGTTGTTGCGGCAACCCCCCGCCGACTGCCCTCGCACCCAGGACCCATACAGCTTCTGCGTGTGGCTCAGCACTCTGTCTGTCGGAAGGAGGGAGGAAAAGATACTCGATCACGACTCTGCTACTACTGGAGAGGAACTCAACTTTTAATATATTAATATTCCAAGACGTTTCGAGTAACGAAACTTTTTGTCATCCCCCCCACCATCGGAGCCTGAATCTGTGGGGGGAAGACGAGCCGGAACTGGAGCCGACAGAGATTGAGGGGGGCGGCTTTGATGGCTTGGGATGAAAATGGAGAACAGCAGACCCAGTCAGGCCAGTGCCTTTCAGGATTAGGACGGCTTGTAGGCAGGGAGGAAGGGGGGCAGGATGACCGGGAGAGACTAAGCAGTGACCGTAAGAGACGGAGCTCAGGCGATGAGAGCAAGGACCATCCCCTCCTGATCCTCAAGCATGGAGAGTGGAGAGAAGGCGAGAACAGTGCAGGCTGACCCAACTGCTCGGGAGGAGAGCGTCTCGCCCCTCTCCACAAGGCACACCAGGGGACTGAGACTTAAGGAGACACTGTGGGGAGGGGCATTTGTCGGGAACAAATGCTGAATTCCGGGAATGTTGAGTGCCGACGTTGGAACTTTCCTAGATTCCTTGCATTATTTCTGGATTTCTCGATTACTTGCCGTACTCTTTTGCTTCCAAGATTCGTTGACTTGCCTTGCTGGATTTCTTGCTGTGCAGCCGTGGTGTTCACAGCATTGGGCTGGACTGTTTGCAGCCAGAGGCTGCTTGAGAGGTATGTGTGTGTGTGTGTGAGATGACCCAGAGTGTAACGCAAACGTAACAAAATCCAAAATGTAAATAAATGTCCTTTAATGCCTCCAACTTGGCCCCGCTGTTCAATAATTCTCAGTTGGAGATAAAACGTACTCAAAAATAGTCTTCAAAAGAAAGCAATACAGTCCGAATTTAATGAGCAGATAGAGGTGAAAATAAAAACCAAACAAACTACAATGATGAAATTTCCACAACGGAACAGGAGAAGCAATTACCAAATTCAAGGAGGTAACAAGGCACAGTCTGTTGGAAGGACGCCAACCAAGATAACCTCAAACCCAAATAAAACACGCTTTGTCTCCAGCGTTTGCCAGAACGCAGGTCCAAACTCTTATGCAGTTCTCACACCTGCAGCCCATGAAGAGGATCAAGGCCCTCTCCTCCCGAGTAGACCACGTCTCTCCCTTATCCTCTCCTCCCTGCGTGCCTTAGGATAGATAGAGGATGGGCCTGGGTCGTCCTGGCCTGAATCTAACCAAAAAGTAATACAGGTTAGTCCTTGAACTTACAACACTTCGTTTAGTGATCGTTGAGAGTTACAACGGCATCTATCAAAGTGATGGATGCATGTTTTTCACACTTACGACCGTTGCAGCATCCCGGCGGCCATGTGATCAAAACTCAAGACGCTTGGCAATTGGTTCGTATTTATGACGGTCGCCGTGTCCTGGGATCCCCTTTGGTGACCTTCCGGCAAGCGAAGTCAGTGGGGAAGCCAGGTTGACTTCACAACCGTGTCACTCACTTAACAACTGCAGTGATTCACTTAACAACTGTGGCAAGAAAGGTCATAAAATGGGACCAAACTCACTTAAGAACTCTCTCGCTTAGCAATGGAAGTTTTGGCCCTCAATTGTGGTCATAAGTCAAGGACAACCTGTATTTCATTTTTTACCTGAATTTGAGGAAAATTTTTCACAAAATATGATTCATGTAACTGCTAGCAAATTCAGATAGCAGCTTGTGAACCGATTCATCTGAAATATTAAACCCAAATTGTGATTCACTCAATAATTGTGGCAAGAAAGGCCGTAAAATGGGGCGAAATTCACGTAACTACTGTCTCGCTTAGCAACAGAAAATTTGGACTCAATTGCGGTCGTACGTCGAGGACTACCTTAAAAGGGTAGGCGTAAAAAGATTTATTCTTATTAACTGAATGAAGCCAACTCTCTTATCTCCTTGCCTCAGATTTTTGTTTTCTACACATGTTCAGAATTCACTGAAGAGAAAGACAGTTAGAAAATGGTCACCTCAGCCTCCTGTTTGGATGCTGTTAGGCAGGGCCTCCTTGTTCCTTCTCCTCTTCCTAAGTCGAGGACTGCAGACTGTAGTCTTTGACTTACGACCACAATTGTGCCGAAAATGTCTGTTGCTAAGTGAGACATTGGAAGAATTTCTCAGGTACCTCCAGCCAGATGGTGTGGGCGAGGGTTGAATTGGGAAGAGATAGGTGGACCCTTGAATCTGTGGTCCTTCAATTATGTGATGACCCGGGGCGTGGCACAAAGGCAACACAGTCAGATAATTAATAGGAGTCCCTTTATTAGCTCCAACTTTGCCCCCAATGTCCTGGTTACCTTCTGGCTGGAGAAAAACTCTCCCAGGAACAGCCTTGGGCTGCAGAGAATCAAATCCAAAATGTGGTCAACAAAAAGTGTAACTTTAAGTCCAATCAAGCCAAACTGAGGTAATTAGTCCAGCAGGGCAGGAGCAAGAATTCCAGGTGCGAAGGCACGGCAATAACTCAATACGGTTGGGAAGACACCAAGAGCCCAGATAAACAAAGTCAACACAAGATAAACTCACGTTTGCTCCCAGCAGCTGCCGCACTCAGCATGCATCTCTTTTAAGCTTTCTTCCCAGGTCTGGCTAATGAAGGGAATCAGGGCCCTTTCCTCCCCCGTAAGCCACGCAACCCATGTTGCTCTCTTCTCCGTTCCTCCCTGCATGCCCTAGGATGAAGAGGGGGTGGGCCTGGGTCTTCCTCTGAACTCCCTCTCCCTTGTTCTACCTCTCCCCTGCTCTGCCCAGCCAGACTTTGCCCTTCCCCAGTTTCCTCCACAGCCAACGGAGCCACACTCCCACTCCCTGTCAGCTGTTTGTCTTCCTCCTCGGATTCAGACTCCAACAGAGGCATGACAACTTATGAGCACAATGGAGCCCAACATTTCTGTTGATAAGTGAGACATTTGTTAAGTGAATGTTGCCCCATTGTACAATCTTTCTTGCCACAGTCGTTAAGCGAATCACTGCAGGTGTTAAATTAGTGACATGGTTGTGAAGTGAATCTGGATTTCCCCATTGACTTTGCTTGTCAGACGGTCGCAAAAGGGGATCACAGGACCCCAGGACACCGCAATCGTCATAAATATGAGTCAGTTGCCAAGCATCTGAATTTGGATCATGTGACCACAGGGATGCTGCAATGTTCGTTGAAAAACTGTCATAAGCCATGTTTTTTTTCAGTGCTGTAACTTTGAATGGTCGCTAAACAAACTATTGTATGTCAAGGACTATATGTACTTGTGTCCCAAAAGTGTTTTTTTTTCCAGGAGGCAACTGGCTTTTTTCTGGGTTTTTTTTTCTTTTGAAGAGGTTTCGCTTCTCCCCCAAGAAGCTTCTTCAGCTTCAATAGTATAGTTGGGAATGGAAGGATTTATACTCCTTGCAGACAGCTGGCCATTTGCATCGTTTTTAATGGGTTGTTGAGGCCACTTGCAGTCCAAAGGTGCTTTTTCAGGAAGCAACTGGGCTTCCTTGTTTTTTCTTTTGAAGACGTTTCGTTTCTCCTCCAAGAAGCTTCTTCAGCTTCGATAGCATAGTTGGGAATAGAAGGATTTGTGCTCCTTGCAGACAACTGGTTGTTTGCATCCTTTTAGAGGGTCGTTAAAGCACCTATGGGCAGGGCCGCCGAGAGGATTATTAATGTTGGAACAAGACTAATATGGGCCCCCTCACCTACACATTAACATCTCCCCTCCCCCCCACACACTACCCTGTGGATTTCGCATTACTCCTTGCACTGACGTAACTCCTAAGGAACCAAGAGGCTCATTTAAAAAAGGGGGTGCGACTGCCAGAGCAGTGAAACAGATCGGGAAGCCGGGAGGGGTGAGGGCGAAGTACGGAGAAGCGGCGTTGCAGTCTGCGCAGCCCACAAGTAGATGGTTTTTTTTTTCCGTCTAGGAGAATGATTCACTTTAGTCCAGGGGTCTCCAACCTTTTGGACCTCAGGGACCACCAAACTTATAATTTTAAATCCTGCAGAGCAATAATATAAATTTTGACTGACGGTGGCTTGCTGACGTTGGTGGGAAAGTCGGTCCCATATTCCAGAGCTGCAGTAGTCACAGGACTGGCCCTCTGGTCATGCTGGAGCAGCTGCTCTTCCACCCAGGTGCATCGGCCTACCATGGACTGGAGGAGGAGCTGCTCCGGGATGACCAAAGGGCCAGTCTTGTGGCTACTGCAGCTCTGGAATATGGGACCGACTTTCCCACCAATGTCCGCAATGTCCACCCCGGGGCGGATTTCCCTCCCCTGCCGTTGGTCTTACCTTCCAGTTCCAACTCACATGGCTCTACTCAAGGTAAGGTTTGCGCTCAGCTGAAGGGTGGGAGCCAGCGGGTGGGCGGGCCATGCGTTCCCGTGCAACCTGGATTAATTGCTTTGGGGGGGATGACATTTCTCTGCGGACCACCAAAATTTTCTCACAGACCACCGCCAGTGGTCCCCGGCCCACCAGTTGGCAACCACTGCTCTACGAGTGAAGGAAAAGTGACACTTCCCTCGCCCTCCCCCTCCCCCTTCCAGTTTATCCTCCTGCGTTTTAAAGCCTCCTCTTTGCCAGTTACCCTTTGGCACGGCTGGTGTGCGAAGATCCTCCGACTAATCTAACTGTGGCGCCTCCTTCTTTTTGGCGTGAAGGATTTCGAAAGGATGAGAAGTGGGCGCGTCCACATTGAAACACCATCCCGCTGTTTTTCTTTTTAAAAATTTGATTTTGTAAAAAAAAAACTTTTTAAAAGATTTTCCCCTTCATGGGCCCCCCTTTGAGCTGCATGGGCCCTGGAACAATGTACTGTCTGTACCCCCAGCTCTCCTGCTTATGGGACAACCATGACCTGGATGACTGAGAGAATCGCTACAGACTTTCTGTACTTGTATTTCGCAAAAAGGTCCTTTCTTTTAAAAGCTGGCTCTTTTCCGGCACTACATACCGGTGTAAAGGCTCTGAAGCTGTCCTTCTTCAGTGACAGGGTACCCGGTGATAACCTCATCGAATTCCATGAAGAATTCCTCTTCTTCAGCCCAAAAGTCTCCTTCTTGGAGCTGGGATAAAAGTTCAGCGCCCACCACAGGATCCAATTGATTCCATCCTGGCCCTCTGAAAACCAGAAATCACAGTGAGTATTAATACGATTTTACAAGCTTTTGGGCAGCTTACAATACTATAAATATTGTAAGGCAAAGGGTAAAGGTTCCCCTCGCACATAACTGCTAGTCGTTTCTGGCTGTAGGGGGCGGTGCTCATCTCCGTTACAAAACTGAAGAGCCAGCGCTGTCCGAAGACGTCTCCGTGGTCATGTGGCTGGCATGACTAAACACCAAAGGCGCACGGAACGCTGTTCCTTTCCCACCAAAGGGATCCCTATTTTTCTACTTGCATTTTTTTACATGCTTTCGAACTGCTAGGTTGGCAGAAGCTGGGACAAGTAACAGGATGCCACAATCAGCTGTCGGGCGGGCAGCGCACGCATGTGCGCAGTTGTACCATTTCTGGGCGAGTGCTTGCATGCTGGCAGTAATGGCTCGGCATGCCACTTCCAGCACGCGTGCCATAGGTTCGCCACAACGGCGTTCGACAATCTGCCACGAACTCTGGGGAAAGGGGATGTGAGAGGGGATCCCGCTCGGGGGAAACCAAAAGTAACGGCTGTATCTCCCTGAGATGCTGCCTCAAGGTCACCCGGATGGGAGAAGAAAGCAGCTGCATACCAACCTACGCTGGACGTGACTGTTCTGAAAACATCTTGTTTTGGACCTGATTGGTCATGAGGGGGTGGCAGGTGGGAGGAGTTAGTGATGGGGAGGCATTTAGGGGAGGGAACTTAGGGGTTTCGGCGTGCGATTCTCAGTTCTGGCTCTGCCTGATCGCAATACACTCGACTTCTAATCAAACTATTCCTTTCCCAACGAATGGAGCAAAGGATCGATTTTACGGAGAGGTTGAAGCAATGGCGGGTCTGACGGAAACACTATGGTAGATGCTGGAGCCAACATGCGGCCCACTCACCCTTCCCTCCAGGGGCCCTTCCAGCAGCGCCTCCCCCAGGGATTCCGGATTCGCAGAAGGATGGTCTCTTTCCGGGATACTTTGGAAAGGTCCTGCATGTCAACCACGATGAAGGCGTGGAACTCTCCCAGTTGGCTTGTCCCTGGAGTGCAGAAAAGAGATAACACGGTAGCCACCATTTCATCCAATTTCTGAGCGCTTAAATTAGGCGACGGAAACTCCTGGGAAGCCCAGGTGAGGATGGTGGGAGGGGCTTCAAAAGAGGGGGAGGGGCTTCAGGGAGGATGATCTCCAGTCACTGACATCACCTGGGCCAGTGATGGGATTCAAATTTTTTTACTAACATTTCTGTGGATGTGGCTTGGTGGGCGTGGCATGGCTCGGTGGGTGTGGCTTGGTGGGCGTGGCAGGGGAAGGATACTGTAAATTCTCCATTCCCTCCGCACCCCACTAACCTGCTTTCCAGCTCCGTTCTCCTGTGCAGGGCAACCAAAGAAGACCCAGCCAATCAGCTGGGACTCAAGAGGCGGAGAATAGTGGCTTGGTGGGCGTGGCAGGGGAAGGATTTACTGCAAAAACCCCATTCCTTCCCCACCCCACTAACCTGCTTTTCAGCTCTGTTCTCCTCTGCAGGGCAACCAAAGGAGACCCAGCCGATCAGCTGGTGGACTCGGGAATAGATGGGGGCGGGGCCAGTCAGAGGTGGGATTTGCCGGTTCTCCGAACTACTCAAAATTTCCACTACTGGTTCTCCAGAACTGGTCAGAACCTGCTGAATATCACCTCTGCACCTGGCTATGTCCTGATCTAACCTGCTTGGTGGCACCGTGCAGGGAATTTTGGGGGTCCCAATTTGTGCTGGGGTGTCGTAAGCAGAGGTGGTATTCAGCCGGTTCTGACCAATTCTGGAGAACTGGTAGCGGAAATTTTGAGTAGTTCAGAGAATGGCAAATCCCACTTCTGACTGGCCCCGCCCCCATCTATTCTCTGCCTCCCGGTGTCCACCAGCTGATCGGCTGGGTCTCCTTTGATTGCCCTGCAGAGGAGAACAGAGCTGAAAAGCAGGTTAGTGGGGTGGGGAAGGAATGGGGGTTTTGCAGTAAATCCTTCCCCTGCCACGCCCACCAAGCCACGCCCACAGAACCGGTAATAAAAAAAATTGAATACCACCACTGGTCGTAAGGACACCAACACGCTGCATGGAAAGCAGTTTGGTTTATTTCCAGGAGTACAGAATGTGACCGCGGAAGTTACCTATAAATGGGGTCCAGAAATTAAGACATTTTTACAGAAAAATTGTCTTTCCTGGGGCAATGGAGTTTGAGTGTTGTCCTTTTGGGGTTGTGTGATGGTGTGGTTCTCCTGGGAGACAATTTTAATTAACTTGATTTGTGTTAACAAGGCTTCCTTCTTTGATGTGTGGATTAAGTCTGTCTAACTTATTTGGGGGTTTTGAGGAAGTTTGGGTAAAAGATTTTCCTGTTCTTTTTACTCAGCTTATAACTAGGTAGTCCTCGACTTACGAATACAATAGAGTCCACAATTTCTCTGGCTAAGCAAAACAGTTCTGAAGTGAATTTTGCCCCGTTTTACGACCTTCCTTGCCACTATTGTGAAGTGAATCAGCGTATTATTCAGTTAGGAACAAAGTGGATAAGTGAAATCTGGCTTCCTCATTGACTCTGCGTGTCTGAAGGTCACAAAAGAGGATGACGTAACCCCGGGAGACACTGCAACAGTCATAACTATGAACCAGTTGCCAAGCATCTGAAATCTGATCATGTGACCATGGGGGATGCTGCAACGGTTGTTAAGTGTGAAAAACCATCATAAGCCACTTGTTTCAGTGCCGCTGTAACTTCGAATGGACACTAAATGAATGATTGTAGGTCAAGGACTGCTTTTAAATTGTTTCTAGTGTCTGTCAACTGTGGATTTCTGTTAATGGTGAAGGGAAGTTGGAGACAGTATAAGGCAGGGGTGTCAAACTGGATTTCTTGGGGGGGGGGGGGCTAGATGAGCATTGTAGTGGCCCAGACCAGGGGGGCAGGGGTGAGATGGGATGAACGCAGTGGTGGGATTCACATTTTTTTCTGTGGGCGTGGCTTGGTGGGCGTGACAGGGGAAGGATAGTGCAAAATCTCCATTTCCACTCCTGGGGGAAGGTTACTGCAAAATCCCCATGCCCTCCCCACCAACCTGCTTTCCAGCTCCATTCTCCTGTGCAGGGCAACCAAAGAAGACCCAGACAATCAGCTGGGACTTGGGAGGCAGAGAATAGATGGGGGCGGGGCCAGTCAGAGGTGATATTTGCCGGTTCTCTGAACTACTCAAAATTTCCACTACCAGTTCTCTAGAACCGGTCAGAACCGGCTGAATGCCACCTCTGGACGAACGGCCTCCTGCAGCAACCTGCCAGCCAAAACGGGCCACAGGCAGCCCCCTGCACACCCCGTTTTCGGCCTAGACAATCTCCTAACCCTAACCTGCCGGCCAAAATGGACCACGGGAGGTCCACAGGTGGGCCCCTGTACCCCGTTTTGGCCAGCAGTGTGCTGCAGGAGACTGTCCAGGCCGAAAACATTTTTTTACTAGCAGAAGCGCTGCAGGCCGGTCTTTTTGCTACCATGCTTCTCCAAAAACACAACCCACCTCAGTAATAAACCCAACCCTAGTTTTCAGGGGTGGGTGGGCCTAATATTAGCCCTACCCCGAAAATAAGTCCAGGGGGGATGAGCGTGGCCAGTACGAGTGGCGGCATGGGTACAGGTGGGGGGAGGGCAACCGTCCGGCTGGAGTTGCAGCCCACTGGCCCCTTGGGGCAGCGCAAATACTGCTTTTGCCCTTCTCTTACTGGGCGCAGCGCTTCTGTTTCTTGGGCCGCTTCCCCGAAGCCACCAGCTTCCGCGGCCAGCTGCTTTGTTTTTTCCCCTCTTTTTGGGAGGCTCGCGGGAGGAAAATGGGGAGGGGGGATTTTGCTGCCTGTCATCCATTCCTCAAGCTCAGGACAGACTGAGGGAGGGATGGCAGGCAGGAAAATTCCCCCTCCCCATTTTCCTCCCGCTCACCGAAAAAGCCTCCATTCCGAACGCTGAAGGTTCGGAATGGAGGCGACGGTGCGTCCACGGCGCGCCCAGCTCACCGAGTCTGGCCTGCTGCACCTCAAAAAAAGTAAGACCTCTGTTGTGGTTCACCACCAGCCGGTGCAGGCCACAGCGGTTATCGGACAGTGTGGACGAAAGGGAATCCAGTCAGGGAGTCTGGAGAGGACTTGGACGAGGGTCCTGCGTCCGATGCAGGAATGGGGCCAGGACCATCTGAGAGTGGGGTGCTGCCTTGGGAGCCTTTGGAGTCTGGCAGCAGCGAGGCAGAGGACCCAGGGGAGCCTGTTCCCAGTGCGCGTGTGCGCAGAGCTGCTAGAAGGTGAGAGCAGCTGAAGCAGAAGGGGCGACTCAGGAGTAAGGCTGGGAGGTGATTGCCCCTCCCATAAGGGATAAAAGTCAGACCTCAATGACGAACGCTTTGCGGGAAGCAAAGCAGTTCAATTAGATTCTGAGTCCTTCTTGAAGCTCTGCACTCTGGTTGGTTTTTTTCTGGTACTGTTATAATTAATTTGGATACTTCTGTTTTTGGCAGCATTCCACAGCACTGACAGGCGCCTGCTTATCTTGGGGAACTGTTTAAGATTAGTTTTGGCTGTGAATGAAAATAATTCCCAGCATTGCAGTAAAGTAGGTTTTGCTTTTAAAACAAGTTTGTGTTTAATTACGTCTGACGAAGCCTGGGTCAGAACAACCTCCTCAAAAATAAGCCCAGGTGCTTATTTTCAAAAAGTCTAAAAGAAAATAAGACTCGGTTTTATTTTCTGAGAAACATGGTATTTGTGCCGGATCTAACGGGCTGGATCTGGCTTGTGGGCCTTCAGTTTGTCACCTCTGGTATAAGGGATACAATATTTTTTGACGTGAAACTTTCCATAGAACTAAAAGTGGCTCGGTAAAATTCTCCCCTTCCCCTACCTTGCCGTGAACTGAAGACGGAGCAGCTCATGACACATTTCTCCTTCAGGTTCATCAACTGTCTGAACACCGTTTTCTCCAAGACTTTGCCGGCCCGCTCTCGTTCAGGATTTTGGCTCAGGTCTTTCAATGACCAGCGTTCCGCAAGGCCTCCGGTCAGATCGACGAGGGCATCGGCTACCTGGCCTGCCCAGAGCTGCTCGTAAGATCCATGAACCCTAAAAACAGAAAGATCCAAACACAGTGTCATGCCTCTGTTGAAGTCTGAATCCGAGGAGGGAGATGAACAGCTGACAGGGAGTGGGAGTGTGGCTCCGTTGGCTGTGGAGGAAACTGGGGAAGGGCAAAGTCTGGCTGGGCAGAGCAGGGGAGAGGTGGAGCAAAGGAGAGGGAGTTCAGAGGAAGACCCAGGCCCACCCCCTCTTCATCCTAGGGCATGCAGGGAGGAATGGAGAAGAGAGCAACGTGGGTTACGTGGCTTACGGGGGGAGGAAAGGGCCCTGATTCCCTTCATTAGCCACACCTGGGAATGAAAGTTTAAAAAGAACTGAATGCTGACTGAGGTAGCTGCTGGGAGCAAATGTGAGTTTATCCTGTGTTGCCATTGCTTATCTGTGTTCCTGGCGCCTTCCCAACCGTGTTGAGTTTATTGCCGCTCCTTCACGTCTGGAATTCCTTCTCCTGCCTGCTGGACTAATTATCTCATTTTGCCTTCAATTGGACTTATAGTTACAGTTTCTGTTGACCACGTTTTGGACTGAATTTTCTGCAGCCAAAAGCTGTTCCTGGGAGAGTTTTTCTCCAGCCCAGAAGGTAACCAGGACATTGGGAGCAAAGTTGGAGCTAATAAAGGGACTCCTATGGATTATCTGACTGTGCTGCCTTTGTGCCACGCCCTGGGTCATCACACACAACTAGTCCTTGACATACGACCAAAACTGAGCCCAATATGTAGGTTGTTAAGTGAGAAATTTGTTAAGTGAGTGCTCCATTTTACAAATTTTTCTTGACCCCTTTGTTAAGTGAATCAATGCTGTTCTTAAATTAGGAACGTGATTGTTAAGTGAATAGGGCTTCCCCCATTGACGTTCCTTTTCACAAGGTCACAAAAGGAGATCATGTGAATCCGGGACACTGCAACCATCATAAATGTGAGTCAGTTGCCAAGCATCTGAATATAAATCACAGGACCATGGGAATGCTGTGATGGTCGTAAGTGAGAACAAACTATGGCAAGAAAAGTCGTAAAATGGGGTAAATCTCAACCTGGGATGATCCGGGTCGTGGTCCAAAAGCAACAAAGTCACAAAAGTAGGTAAAGTCCCTTTAATACCTCCAACTTGGCCCCCAATGTCCAGTTATCATCGGCTGGAGACAAAACTCACCCAAGAACAGTTTTTAAAGGGAAAAAATTCCAAAGAACATATAGATTATAAATAAAAACCAACACAAACCACACTGCAGCAATTAACGAGACAGGGCAGGATAAGGAATTGCAGACTTCAAAAGATAATGAAACACACACAGTTGGGAGGACGCCACAACCCAGATAAGACTTGACAAAGATAATGCACACTTTGCTTCCAGCAAGGAGTGTGCACAAACTATCTTTTTAAATCCTGTTTTCCCAGCTGCAGCTAATGAAGGAAATCAGGGCCCTTTTCTCCCCCGTAACCCATGTTGCTCCCTTCTCCGTTTCTCCCTAAATGAAGAAGAGGATGAAGAGGAGGTGGCCCTGGGTCTTCCTCTGAAGGCCTCGCCGGACTGTGCCCTTCCCCAGTTTCCTCCACAGCCACTGGAGCCACACTCCCACTCCCTGTCAGCTGCTCGACCTCCCCCTCGGAATCAGATTCCAACAAGGGCATGACACAACCACTGTTTCACCTAGCAACAGAAATTTCGGGCTCTATTGTGGTCGTAAGTCAGGGACCACCTGTAACCAGAGTGACTGTGCCCATCACATACTTGGCATAGGCTTTCTCCAGCAGGGGAAGCCAAAACACATCTTCCGTCTGGCACTGGGAGAAGCAGAGCTTGCCCCCCAGACAAGGCAGCCGATCATCGATGGTCACCTCCACCCAGTGGCCAAACTGCCAGATACGGCAAGTGAAACATCCTCGGTATTTCTCATCCTTCCAACTGGGCTGACCTGGAGGTATCACCTGTGATAAGAGAAGAACCACTCATTGGTACGAATGCAACTGGTCGAAACAGCCGTCAAGTTTCCTAGACTTAAGTGCTTAAGCCAGGGTTCCTCAAACTTTTTAAACAGGGGGCCAATTCCCTCAGACTGTTGGGGGGGCCCCGTATTGCTGGGTGGGTGTGGCTAGGTGGGCATGTGACGGGGTGGGTGTGGCCAATTTAGCAGTCCATTAAAAAACACACACACAAAAATTAAACTTTAATTTGGTATGCTCCTGGGGGTGGAAAGCAGGTTAGTGAAGGGATGTGGCTGCCTTGGGATGTGTGTGAGGGACTTCTGTTTGCGTGTGTGTGTGTATGTCTTTTATTCTCTCTCTCTCTCTCCTTCCTTTCTTCCCTTTCTCCCTCCCTCTTTCTGTTTTTCTGGAGGCCAGAGAGGCCAAAAACGGGCCCATTTTTGGCCTCCCCAGCCTCCAGTACGACTCTGCTGCCCAAAAATGTGCCCGTTTTTCGGCCTCCAGAAGGTGGGGTGATGTGGGCAGGGCAGCCTCATGGTCCGTGGGGGCCGTAGTTTGAGGACCCCTGGCTTCCCATCCAACCTTTCCGAATACTCCAAGATTCTAGTCCTTATGGAGGCAAGGGGCATTTGAAAATGCACATCGTTTTTGCACAACAGTGGAAGAACGAAGAGATCCCTACAGATGAAAGTGGAGTTTTAAAAAAAAAAAATAGAATGCAGAGATGTACAGATCAACACTCAAAATAAAAGAGAAGGAAGAAACAGAATACTTTTTTTTAACATGAGACTCATTTTACCAATGGTTAGTTAACAGAAACAGAAGTTAGAAACTCAAAAGTTTAAGAGAATGATATTCTCTTAAACTATACAATGAACGTTTATTAGTATGGATAAGCAAATACAGTTATTATGCGATTATTATCAAGGCTATAATTTCATTTAACTGGAGATTCCTCAACTGTGACATTTTGGGTGCAGGTATGCAAATGTTATAAGTTTCACTTAGAAATCTCGTACTCCTGAGGACCTGTACCCCAGATGGCAGGAGAGATCTTACCTTGGTTAGCAGGTATTTGTTTTTCTGCAAAGCGGCACAGGCACAGAGAAACCAGCAATCTCCCAGCATGCCTTGCTTGACCTGCCATTCATGTTGATTGTCTGAAAATAACCGAGGTGAAGAGCAGATCTCCTGAGGGGGAAGAAAAAAAAGAGAATTTAGAGAGGAAACACACTATGTTTGCAATGTTTTTTTTCCTTTTTTCCTTCCTTCCCTTCCTTCTCCTTCCTTTTCTGACTCCCTCCCCCTCCCTTCCTTCTCTCCCACCCTCTCTCCTTCCTTTTCTTCCTCCCTCCCTCTCCTTCCTTCCTCTTGTTCCTCCATCCCTTTCCTTTCCTCTCCCTCCCTCCCTCCTTCTCTCCCTCCCTCTCCCTTCCTTCTCTCCCACCCTCCCTCCCTTCCTCCCTCTCCTTCCTTCCTCTTGTTCCTCCGTCCCTCTTTCCTTTCCTCTCCCTCCCTCCCTCCATCTCTCTCCCTCCCTCTCCCTTCCTTCTCTCCCACCCTCCCTCCTTTTCTTCCTCCCTTCCTTCCTCCCTCTCCTTCCTTCCTCTTGTTCCTCCATCCCTCTTTCCTTTCCTCTCCCTCCCTTCCTCCTTCTCTCTCCCTCCCTCTCCCTTCCTTCTCCAACCCTCCCTCCTTCCTTTTCTTCCTCCCTTCCTTCCTCCCTCTCCTTACTTCCTCTTGTTCCTCCGTTCCTCTTTCCTTTCCTCTCCCTCCCTTCCTCCCTCCTTCTCTCCCTCCCTCCCTCTCCTTTTCTTCCTTTCCTCTTTTCCTCCCTCCCTCTCTCCCTTCCTGCTCCTTCCTTTTCTCCCTCCCTCTCCTTCCTCCCTCCCTGTTTCTCTCCCTCTCCCTCCCTCCCTTCTTAAATGTATATGCCGCCTGACTTCCAGCAACTCTTAACAGTTATTATTGATATAGATTTGTTGATATTGTATGTTAGGAATGATAATCACCTAACAGTTGGGTTGGCAATATATAAACCAGGATAGTTATTTAATGTTGTTTAAGAGAATGCTGTAATAGTGATTGGCTGAGGTTCCTCCAATGGCCATAAGATGGAGCCAGAAACCTGGTTTGTTCTTGCATTTTTCCTTTTGCCATTTTGCGTGATCGTCATTCTGCTTGGATTGCTGTGAGTCTTGCAACTGTTAGCAAACTTCATTTACTGAACTTTGTGTATGATACTAGACTTCGTTTTTGACAGGAAAGTGCTAGGAATTTAATCCACCATGATTTTCAAAAACAAACCTGAGGTCTCAGCCAGTAAATTTCTCCTTTGAACTGAGCCAACGGAGTAGAACAGTTGAAAAAGAGAGAATCGTCGCTAGCCGGAAACGCAAGGTCCTTGTAGAGGTCTCCCTTCGGATCTGCCAGGACCCCGATGCCCAGCATCTTTTATAAATCTTCAAGGACCTGCAGCCCCTTCAGAGGCAACTGGGGACTTGATTTAAATCTGCAAAACATGTTAGGAGGCCAGGAGAGAGAAATTGCTTTAAAATGGTGTTTTAAGAAAGTAGGCTTATTTTTGAACAACCCAACATAAAAAAAAATAGTCTTGATGGTAACCTGCAGTTATATTTCATTTTTTTTTCTCCTTCTCAACATATTTAAAATGTGCTGGCTTTTTTTTTTAATTGAAGAAATCATAGCATAAAATTATAACGGATAAAGGAAGATCAACCAAGAGGAAAACAAAAAGAAAAACAACAAAACAAAAAAAAAGGAGAAAAAGTTTACAGATGCAATTACAAATTGAATGCCAACCTTGAAATATCCGTACTTTGTACCATTAATACTTAAAGGAAAAATATCGTTAATGCAACAAATAAAAGAATTAATCTGCACAATTTCATCTAATCTTACGAAGCTTCTCCTCCGGAAATACAGAATTGCTAACTAGGGCATACAAAACTTTTGCTAGACCAATACTCAAATTCATCTCATCTGTCAGGAATCCACACTGTATATCGGACATTAATACAATTGAGCAAGTCCAGAAGTATTTCACGAGAAAAGCACTACACTCCTCTGCTCGCAACACAATACCCTACATCACCAGGCTTGAAATTTT